GCGCACACACTTAAAATGTCCACGCGCGCCGCGCTCACATTTTGCTGGGCCCGCGTGCCTTAGCACCGCTGCTATGACTCCATCCTAGGGGAAACAAAGTACAGGTATTTGTGTTCAACATGTAAGAAGTAGAAAGTACAGGTATTTGTGTTCAACATGTAAGAAGTAGAAAGTACAGGTATTTGAGTTCAACATGTAAGAAGTAGAAAGTACAGGTATTTGTGTTCAACATGTAAGAAGTAGAAAGTACAGGTATTTGAGTTCAATATGTAAGAAGTAAAAGTCGTCAGAAAAATAAGTAGTGGAGTAAAGTACTGATACCAGAAACATGTACTTAAGTACAGTAACAAAGTATTTGTACTCCACTACTTCCCACCTCTGCACATCACACACATCTCAAGTAGCAACCAAAGCCAACGTAAAAAGATGGGTCTTCAGTTGTTAAGACTTTGCTTATGTTTCACACCAGGCCCAAAGAGTCGTCCACTATAGAGGAGCAGCATCAGATCGGTTCGGTGAACAGCATGGAGCGTCCCTCTCTCCCTCCTCCTCCTCCGGCAGGACGTCTTTCCCCGACTAAACACAGCGCCGAGTCGCTCTGTGGACCGGGAAGCAAAAAAGACTCTGGCTTCAGCTGCTTCTCCAGCAACCCCAGCCCTCCGTTTAACGACCCCGGCACATCTGAGAGGAAGGGTACCACCAGCACGGAGAACATTTTCTTTAAAGGCCCTCCGAGTGAAAGGCCTCCCCCACGATACCTGCAGCCCACACTGGGGAACGGAGGATGGGAGGGGTCGAGAGGCGAGGAAACCCCTTCCTCTCGGGTCTCCGTCGCTATGAGAGCCAACATGGGCCCCGTGTGGCAGGTACCAGAGAAGAAGAAGTCCCAGTCCCCTCCTCCTCCCCCTCCTCCTCCACCTCCTCTGCGCAGCGACAGCTTTGCAGCCACGAAGGTGTTTCCTTACTCAGAAGCAAAAACCCACGGCAGGTCGTTTGAGAAACTGACAGAGAATAACAACCAGAATAGCCTCAGATCCCACCAGGAGAAAAGCACTGAGGCCAGACGTAGCTTAAACCCCCTCCCCACCAAAGACTTCATCCACCCTAAAACAGCATCTGACCACAACCACAACCAGCTGCCCCCCGACAAACTCTTCTCCCTGTCCAGTAATGATGTCAGGCAGGCTCACTACACCCAGATACCTGCCCACCAGAGGCAATACAGCGACGAAAGCCCGCTCTACCTGCAGAAAAGGTCAGCTCCCCCCACTAAGATCCAGAGCGTAGGAAGCTATTATCGCAGCCTTCAAGATCTGCCAACGAGAGCTTTCAGCCGCAAACACGTCCGGCACTCCACAGCATCCGTGGCTAACCCAAACCTGGAGAACGGGTGGAGAAACAGATACTACGGCCTGGCAAACAAGCATCCTGTTCAGAGTGCTGAGCTGCAGGCGAGGCAGGGGAAGGCGGAGGGCTGGAGGGGGGAGACGGAGAAACCCCACAGGGTGAGCAGCTGTGAAGCAGGCTTCCTAGGGTCCAACGTTAAAGCTAAATACCCTCTACCTCAGTCCCAGCTGCCTCACAGCGGCAGTCACTCCCATCAGGGAGAACTCTCCATTACAAGCCGCAGCTTAGAGGACGCTGCAAAGAGAGGTGATGCAAGTGACACTAAGAGATACTTCCCGACACATCAAAGTAATGATCATAAGACCAGGCACCAAGACCCGTGGGTGCCTCAGGAAGACCACAGGATATCCCCCCTGAAAACGCCTCTCCTACACTCCCTGGCCCAGGAGGGCAGGAGTCTGACGGCGAGGCAACCATCCGCTCAGCCGCAGGAGGCAGGCGACAACATGGCGTCCAGCGGTGGAAAGTGTATCCGCCGCAGCGACCGCTACGCCACCGTCCTCCGAAATGAGATCCAGCAGAAGAGAGCCCAGCTGCAGAAGAGCCGCAGCGCTGCAACGCTGACATGTGAAGCCGAGGATGAGGAGGCGGAGGAGTGGAGATCCACGGAGACTTCTGGGGTCTCAAACACCTACAAGGACCACCTGAAGGAGGCGCAGGCGAGGGTCCTGCAGGCCACTTCCTTCCAGAGACGAGACCTGGAGCCTCTCGGACCAGAAGCGACGGTGGTGAAAACCTCAAACGGACGCATCAGAGGACGCAAGCGCTTCCCTCTGGCCAAAAGGATGCACTCCTTCTCAGAGCCTGACCAGATAGACAAACTGGGAGTGGGAGGAGAAGCTCAAGCGGGGTCTTTCGGAGACAGGAAGAAGTTATTTGAAGCCAAACCGGTGTTTTCTAGGCCTGTACTGAAACCCAGTCAGGGGTCAAACCTGAACACGGACCTTGTTGAGAAACAGAACGAGAGATCTGGAGAGTCGGAGGATGCTCTCATATCCACAGAGCTGGAACGCCTCAGCCCGGGACTCACGCAGGTCTTACTGGAGCAGCAGAGGCTGGGGACCTTCGCTGAGTACCAGGCAACGTGGAGCAAACAGAAGAAGTCCTCGGAGGCCAAGACGCAGGGCAGGTATCACTCAGCGGAGAACATCCTGGATACAGAAGCAGAGGAGAAGCCCGTGTGCATCCACGAGAGGTCCAGATCTTCTCCCTCTGCAGACTTCTACACGCAGGTGAGCAGCATAACAGTATGACTCAAAGTTTAATCTAATGGGACTGGATGTTATCAAATGGATGCAAAAGAAAGCACTTTACCTTTTGTTGCAGAATATTCCTTCACCATGGATCGACCCTCCCAGCCAGCAGAGCAGTAACAGGTGAGATTATATTATAATTACATATTAAAGACATCAATATAAATATTAGGAGACAAAACAAACCGTTGAAATGGACAGTAGGATGAACAAATAAGCAATTCATCAATCTTACTGTTTTCTTTATATTCTCAGTAAGTGTGTGACGGGGTTCAATTGTCCGTTCAAAAAAACACTGGCCTAGTCGGTTGGGTTGAGCTCCAAACAATTCAATAACAGCAGCAAAAC